CCCTCAGACCTGCCTCTGGCTGGAGTGCAGGGCTGTCCATATCCCGAGGAAAATGCAAAGCAAAGCCAGGCAGAGTGGAAGTCTGCTGTTGTGAACTCAGCACTAAAATATGCTCTAAGAGTAGAGCTGTAAGCAAGCGGATCTGAACAGCACTTGCACTAAATGGGCTTCTTGGTTGTGATCTGCGGCAAACACGAAGATTACACGTTCATTACGGCTCCAGAAATACCGAGGGTCGTTGCAGGTGTGGTGATAAGCCAGGCTCCTTGGGCATCCCGTGCACCAAGCGATCCTGCAGCAGTTCTGGGAGCAGCAGGGATACCCGGCCAGATGCAAACTCTGATGTTTCTGTGTTCTGCCTCTTTTAGCTAGATACTATTTTTTAATTCTTAGACTAGCAAGAGACTGCTGAATCAACCTCAGGCTTGGCTGTGTCTTCCCAGGGAAAGTGGTTTTCTCTCTACTAACTCCTGTGCATGGTATTTATTTTGAGATGAGTTATGTAGCTATAAGATATATTAATAGAGTGTTTTCTTGTATCCTCCAAGATGATTACGTCTTATGTGAGATTTCCCATCAAATCAGGGAACTCAAATACCCGAGGCATACAAGGTTTCTTCCTGGGACACACCACAGCCTGAGCCACAATGGCAAATCAAGCTGCTTAGGGAAAATTGTTCTGTGACTGGCAGCTGGCTTCCAGCTTGCTCTGTCTGTTCAGTAACACGAGCAGCTCTGTCTCTTGTTACGAAACCCAGTATTTTTAACAGATTGCTTATTGGCATTTGTGGGCCCGGGGGGCGGCATTTTGTAATGATTAAAAGGCACTGCCTATTGTGTTCTTAAGCAACTTGAAATGTAATTGATGTGTGTTGCAGCCACGCTTTTCTGGAGCTTTCCCAAAGGGGAAGAAATATTTCCTTTTCAAGTTGAGCAGCACGGAGCCAACGGATGGAGCAAGGGACAGTGAAGCAGGAGACGCTGGAGGCCGCTCTCAGCAGTGCTGTGGCTGTTACGCACCCTTTCCTTGCCACCCTCCGGGTGCCATCCCTCTGGGTGCAGAAGGGCCCCTGCTTTATGGTCAGCAAAGCACCATAGCTGTCTGTACCCTCCCGCTGACACCTCTGCGTTTCCCAGATGTTTGTAAGCATAGGTTTTTAGCCCCCTTAGCGGGTAAATGCCATTAGTTTGGTAAGCTGAGGTTATGGAGCGGAAAGGGGACTGGTCTGCAGCTGTACTGGAGCACTAGGGAGCACCAGGGTCCCGGGGCTGTGACAAAACCTGAGGGCTCTGCATTTATTTGAGAACCTGACTCCTGTAAAGAGAAGTGACTCCTGTAAAGTAGCTGTGCTGGTCAGGATTCCTGGAAGGGCATCCAGGGAATGGGTGGTTTCTGCTGTGCGTGCCAGTCGGGCCGGGTAAAAATTGGACAGAAAGCTGCTTCTCCTCCTGGTTAGGCTAGTGGTACTGGTGAGACGCGAGCATGTGGTTATGGTTTATGCCTAGAGAAGGGATTAGTCAGGGGTCTGTAAGAAACAAGTCTTCAGTGAATTTGATTATAGCCAGCCACTAACAAATAAATACCAAGCCACCTGAAAGACTTTCTTGTTCAGTTGTAGCTCAGTTACTCGTGAGTCGCTCTGAAAATCAAACTGGGGTAGCTGTACAGTAAGCGAAGAAGCATTTTAATTTGACAGCTAATGTCGTACGTGTGTTACAGTGGTGGCACACAGTGTTTTAACTGTAAAGAAACAAGCAGGCATTAGTCAATACAATGCTTTTTATCTAGTCCTGTCCCAGGGAATATGGACTTTCCACAGCAACGGGCTGCTTTGCTTTGCGGTTGCTGATAGGCGCTGCGTTGCCTTCGGAGCATGCGGGAGGAAGCAAACAAACAAACAAGTCTGGAGGAGGGAAATGATTAGATGAGCCTCAGCTGTTTTTTTCCCCTCTTGAATGGCCCTCTTTCATCAGGATTTGTTAGGACAAGTGCTTTTTCAAGCCAGGATATCAGTGGAAGACACAGTGTTCTGTAAAAGTCATCCAGTTCCTGGGTAGCATCAACAGGCGCGATTTCTCTGCTCCGCACAGAATATACGGTCAACCTTTTCTTTTCCTTCTTTTCTTTTTTTTTTTATGGGTTTAGAAGCAAAAGGATGTGAGCTTTACAGCTAGTTATGAATCTTTTCGAATTTACTGACTTCTGTCTGACTCTTGGGCCAGCACAATGCTTCTGCTGTTCAAAGAAAACCAGTCCAAATTAGTATGTATAAGCCACTCGTTTTTATGCTGCTAACAAATGCTGCTTACTAGGGCATTTATCACTGCTGCCGAGGGTCAAAAGTTGGGGATGTTCTTTAATGATAGGATTTTTCTGTTCTTTAGGAGATTTTTTTCAAAAGGCTGGAGTTTTAGTTGTTTACTGGAACTGCAGGATTTAAAAGGGTTTTTTAAAACTGGGTTGGAATATCATGCCTTGGCTTTTTCTCACTTTTATTTTGTTAGCTGTCTTTTAGAGCAGTTGTATGAAGTAACTGAGAGCAGAGTGTTCCTAGGGCGGAGGTAAGGGACGGTGTTGGGTAATGTTGCTGTTTCCGTATGGTGAAAAATACGAGCTTTTGCGAAGAGGCGCTTGGATGTGTTACCTCCATACGGCACTGTGCTGGTCGTATGGAAATGGGAGCTTATGTGGAAATTGGGGAGCGCGGGTAGTGCTGGGGAGGTACGGGCAATCTGAGTCACGGCAAACTGCGCTTTGTAAGGTTAGTGCGCAGTTTAGGAACCAAACATTTAAATTAAAAAAGAAATCTTGCTCTCAACAGGTTCTTTGGCTTTGCTTTCCGGCTCATTTCCATGCAGATGAATACACGGTGACAAAAATTTTGCTACGTGGGTTGTCCTTTTCCTGCAATCGCTTTCTGCTCCTGCAGCGCAGCTTTCTCATTTGCCTGCAACTAGGAATATTCTGCCTTATTGTAAAAGATTTCCTGACCACAAGAGAGGAGAACATCAGGCGAGACGAACCATCAGAGCAGGAGTTACCGATGCCTTTGGGAGGGAGCTCTGTCTCTTCCAAGGTTTTTCCTGCTGTAGAAATTCCAGTCAGTACTTTATTAGGGATAAAAGAATATCCTTTGGGATCTTTTTTGACTTTCCCAAAGAAATATTTCCTAAAATTCTTGGGACAGGAATGCTGTGAATTATCTCCTCGTGCGTTATCTAACCATTCCCTTCCTCTTGCTGAGAAAAGAGATGAGTGTGCGTGAAGCTGGTATCTAGCTGAATATCCTATACATTGTGTTGGTGTGACTGCTTTTGTGTAACTTCTGGCCTCTTTTAACACTTTCCTGTGAGATCTGGTGTGGAAGGAAACAAGACTCTTCCTGGCTCACTTACGGAATGAACCAAATTCCCATTTGCAGAAATTCTTGCCGTTAGCTTGTGTGCCAGGCAGAGCAGAGCCGGTATTTCGGATCACAAGCAAACCCTGCGCAGCTCCTGTTCAGACACAACTTGCTAGCAAAGTTGAGTGGTGAGTGCTAGAATATTGTGGGAGTGTAAATGCAGAAAAGCTTGTTTTAATTAGGGTGCAGTTGTCCTGCTGGCATTTTATATGACTTGTGGAGCCTGGAACTTAAGCGAAAATTTTAGTTCACTTTTTAAAAGCAGCTGAAATGTCAAATGTAAACCTGATGCAGATTTTTCTGGGAATTTTGCACCTTGAAAATTCAGTTGAAAAAAGAAAGCTTTGCCTGGGAACCTTGGCTGTGTTCTCAGAGAAGGGAAAAGCTGAACTTGCAGCAAAAGCTGTAAAGACATGAAATTCATGTCTGTCTCCACAAAAACACTAAGGTAGAATGGAGCATTAGTGCTCATTTCTGCCCAAAGGCAAAGACCCCAGATAAAGTACAGAACAGATGAGTGCTGGGAGTAGTAACTCCTGTGGGATCATTTTCTGTAGCATAAGTAACTCCCGTGTAGCACAATCTCATAATGGAGCATTTATATTTAGTAGATAGCAGACAGTAATTAATGATGATCTATGTTTGGAAGTGTAGGGTGGCAGAAAATGGGGCTTTGTAACAAGGAATGTCTCTTGCGACGTTTTGAGCGGTGTAGGAAATGCAGTGTAAGCAGTTACTGTGGCAACTAAAAGGTAGCTTAGTAGATGTTGATTTTCAGCCTTGTGGGAAATGCTAACTTTACCGCTTACGTCCGAGTCTATTTCTAAAATGCTCGCAAGTGCATTATGGTACTATGTAATTAGGCTTGTGCTGGTGCTTGCTGTAACTACTGATTTTGTTCAGCCTTCTCTTTAGTTATATTCTGGGGCCTGTGTGTCATTTGACTCTGTGGAAATACCGTTATGTATTTGCACATGCTGCGACCTGCCTTCTTACTGGTAGTATTTTCCAGGACGGCTGTATCTAGCCGGAGCAAAGCAAAATCTTTGCTATTGTGTCGGTTGTTTTTTCCCCTGAGGTTTCAGTGCAGTTTCCTTTCTCTTGTGATGTGCAGGTTTCATCTACCCTCCCTTTCTCTTTTAATCTACAGACAATTTATGGTTGCATGTTCTCGCTTTTGCATTCCAAAGAAATCTCAAGAACTGAAATTAGTAGGAACTGATTGACTCAGAACCTGATCTTCAGTCATTTTACACGTCTAAGCCTGTAACAAGTCTTACCCTCTACTGTTTTTAAGTTGCAGAATTTGATAATCAAATGATAAAGTCATTTCCAGCCCATGACAGCTCAGGCAAGTATCTCCTGCAATGGCCAAGTAATAAAGTGTTGGTGGAAAATGACACATGAATAATCCATGAATAATCCTGGAGCCATGCCGTGCAAGTGGCAGGATCAAACTTTGCGAACAGCTTCTCATGGCAAAATCTTACTACGTTTTAGTGAGAGGAAGCCCTTCCTTCCCTAGCCGTACAGACCTGAGCACGCATTTTGCTGATATTTCCTTTCAGTTGACTTCCTCTGTCATTTGTTTTCCAGCCTAAGCGAGAGCTTTTTCATGGTGAAAGGCGCAGCCCTTTTCCTACAACAAGGAAACAGCTCCCAGGGCCAGCGAAGTCTCCAGCATCCTCACAAACATGCAGGTAGTGGATTAAATCACCTACTGAAATTCTTTTTCCCTCTTGCTTTGCTGCTCATCCCGTCCACGCGGCCATGGCTAATAGCATGTGTGGGTGGGTGGATGACTCCTCTAATTGTCATAGTGGGCCTTGTACAACCTGCTGAGTAAAACCAGGTTTTCAGCCCACTTGATTCAAATGGGAACATATGATTATTGAGTCTTTGTTTAAACTTTTGTCATTATCTTGGAACTGTAACTGGAGTAGAACTTTATTCTCTGCAGACATTATGGCATTCAGCATGGCATTCTTTAGGCAGGGAAGCCCGCTGAGCCAGAAGGTCTGTGCTGAATATGTATCCCTGTTTTCCACAGCCGCAGATGAAGAAATGTCACTTGTGCTTCAGTGATATGATCTTTGCCTTCGCCTTTGGCCTGTGGGGACGAAAATTGGGTGGGCTGAGTCACGGGGCTCTAGCATCTCTTCTGTAATTATCGAGGTCCTGATTCAGCATGGCAAGGACATTTCTCAGTGCTCTCCCAGCCTCCAATAATCTGAAGCTTGGGACTTTCGGTGCCAGCTGACACCATTTGTTCTTTTGAAACTACCTGTTGCTTAGTTTTGTTTGATGTTGCCGGTGAGAGTGAGGAACGTTTTAACAGGATTTGGGTCTCTGGATAGATGTATGTTTCTTAGCTCCTTATATCCCCTTTCCTGGTTTCAGGAAAATCCCCTTTTCAGTTAACTCATCACAATCTGGCCTGTAAGAGTTTATCACGGTTTAAGAACAGACTGTCATTCTTCCCCCAGTCCCCTCCGGTGTGCCAAACTGATGGGAAGAAATGGTAGGGATGTATGTATGGTGAATGTACATAAGGATTGATAAGCAGATGGGGGTTCAGGAAAGTGGTTCTACTTACCCAGTGGTTTTATGCCTTCTGTCTTTGGCAGTTTTGGAATAAGCGATTACTGGGAAAGAAGGAATAAGATCATCGGGGCATTCTGAGAGCAGGAGCATGTGGGAAAGGCACAGTGTGGTACTGTGTGTCTGCTGCTTAGTAAACACTCCAAGCACAAAGAGGGTGTTTGAATGCCAAGCTTGGCTTTGGGTTTCTTTAATTGTCAGCAATTTCATATACCCAGCAGACATCCTACGGAAGGAATTTTATCTTGTATGGAAAGTTATGAGTGCATTACCAAGTTATTAGATGTGAACTTGTTTTGTTTTCTTGTAGATTCCTTGTTCCTTTCGCTTGCTTTCACCAAACAGAACTGTACACACTGCTCTAGAGCCTAAGGGACTTGTTGCATGAGCAGCACTTTGCTTGAGATAAAAGGGATCCACCACCCAAACCGGGCCGCTCCTGCAGCCCTTCATCCTCTGGAGTTTCTCATGTTCAGATATACCCTCCATAAGGCCAGTGGGGCTGATCCCACGATGCTATGTGTGTTTCACAAGTCAAAGTTTTTTTCTGTTCTCCTTTGTTCCTTTTTTGTTTTTTTTTTAATTAGAGTTGTTCCTCCTGCCTCTTCCTCCCCTGCCCTCAGTGCCCATATCTTTCTGTCTTCTCTAAGATGCTGTAACAGGAAGAGGATCATCATTTGTGCCAGTCACAGGTGGTCTCAATACATTTGGTAGCTTCCAAATACCGTAAGGTCAAGTTCTCACACAGCCAGATAACACTCATCCAAGAAGCTCACTTCTGTTAGTATTCTCTGGGACAGCAAAGTTAATTGGCCTCCTTTAAATGGTATTTTTTGACTTAGAAACATCCAATTTCATTCAAGGTCAAGACTGGTGATTCTTAGTGCAGCAAGTGAGAGACCCTTTCTGATTATTTCTCTGCTTTCTCTGCAGGTGATTTGCCCCAGCACCTCCAGGTGATGATCAACCTCCTTCGCTGTGAGGATAGGATCAAACTGGTAAGAAAAGATGCATTTTCCTGCTCTCCTTTCTGTTGCGGGCGTTTGAAACAGACCTGTAGAGGTTCATGAAAAGCACTGGCAAATCCTAGGTTTCAGAGTCAGCTTAACTCTGTGCTGGTTGTCAGCCCTACCGCATTTTCCTGTCCACTCCTTTTGCCCTGGTCCTTACATCCAGGTAATGACTTGGGTCAGGAAACTGATCTGTCTGAAGTGTGTTTGTGTTGTTAGGTTTAATTTTCCAGTCAGCTGACAAACACTAATACAGGAGAAGAGACAGGAGCTTGCTGATGCTAGTGGACACTTTTAAGTCGGTCTTGAAATTGCATCCAAATGGGGCTGGGCTTTCTTTTAAAGAAATCTGCAGAGGCTATAAAAGTCACTGCAGAAAAGTCTATGTCAGTTATCCCCTCCAGCATGACTAACATATTCCAGTGAAGGCTTGTGAGTGGAAGAATCCTCTGAGCCTGCCTCTGTTTTCAGTTCAGTGCATGACCAATGTTTTTACCAACTTTCTAGCTCAACCTCTTTAGAACAAATCTTCGGGTTACATTTTGTAGTATTTCTCCGAAGTGGGGCAGGTAATCTAGGCTAATCTTCTCCCCACCTGATGCCAAGTCAAACTGGCAGCTAGCCTTGCTGGAAGATGGACTGTCCCTCCCTGTGTCTTTCATGCTGCAGCTAAATAAAGCTTTTGGGCACAATTACACCTTAAAAAAAAATATTAGGCAGCAGTGGAAGTAATAATTATCCAAAAGCTAGTTTGCAGAGCTTGATGACCTTTTTCTAGGCTGTCCGTTTGGAAAGCGTGTGGACAGACCGAGTCCGGTACATGGTGGTTGTATACAGCAGTGGACGACAGGATACAGAAGAGAATATTCTGCTGGGTGTGGATTTCTCCAGCAAGGAGAGGTATGTCTAAGGCGAGGCTGGGCTTGGAAATCAGGCAGGCTGGGCTCTCTGGAAAGCCTGTCAACACCAAACTGTCCCCAAGCAGTTGGTTTACATGTATCTGCAAATTCTAGCAAGAGAAAGGACATGTGTTGAGTTTTCTGACCAGTTATGAGGGCGAGAGGGTGTTTTTTGTTCCAGAAAGCTTTCAGTCTGCTTGGAATCTCTGGGCTCTCTGGGCAGTTGTGGGCAAAGCACTCATGTGTAATCCATCTGTAGGGCTGTGGCATCTACCTCATCTGTGGTAGTTTGCTGTCTGCTCACTGCAAAATGCTCTTGCAGACACATTTGTAAAACTGGAACTTATTCTGTCCGCCAGACTTCAAGTCTGTTGATGGTATGATGCAATGGAGCTGTTTTTGAGGGGGTAGCTTAGCTGCCAAATAACATCAAAAAACAATACTGCAAAAGTACCTCCAAAACCAACAAACAAATGTGTCAGTAATGAGCTGTTTCTTTTGTCTAACTGATAAAAGCACGTAATATTTGGAAAGGCAAATAAAATATTTTGTTATCACAGACCCTCTCGCATTATTCCAGTTCTAGGTGAGTAAACCAAGGCAGAAAAGCTCTTGGCTCGGAGAGACAGGGCTGGTTTGGCAGAGCTGGAGTTAGAAGTCCAGACTGTTGTTTCTGTTCTCCGATGATTTAGCAGGCTGCCATGTTGTGCTGGTGCAGCCACTGTGACTTTTGTTTTCTTTTTGGAAAACCTCAGTGGTTGTTTCCATTGCTGTAAGTGGAAGGGGGGAGCTTCTGCACTGCAATGAGACCTGTAGGGGAAACTCCCAGCTGTGCCTTCCTAATAAGATTATTGTCATTGGCTTTGATGCTGCCTCTTGTATCTCCTGTTAAATTACTGCTGTTAGTGTTACGGAGGAAATTCTAATGTAGCGTTTCCTCATGGCACACTTAATGTGCAGCAGCAGTGAACGTTTGCTATGTCATCTTCAAATCTGAAACAACCTTGCAATAACTTGCTCCTGGTGATTATTGATGTGAGACGAGGAAAGATGGAAAAGTTATGACAAATCCATCCTAACTGTAAGGTTCGCTGCCATTTCAGTTACTGTCTCCCCTGAAAGCCGAAGTTTTTGTTAAGTAAGGGTAAGTCTCATGCATAAAGAAGTCAGTTGGCATTAGTGACTTCACTGTGTGACTCCATGGCTCTGTGTTGGGGCTGAAATGTCACTGCTGAGCTGTAAGTGTTCTGACTGCTGACAGTTTGACTCGTCGGGCGCTTTTGTGGGTTTTATTCCTTTTACATGTGTTTAATAAAAACCATTTTTTTTTCTTGCAAAGCTCTAAAGTGCACATTAGCCACATGTGTGTTCAAACTGGCCTGTCAAATCCTTTGATCTGCTGTAGAAAGCAGCCGAAGGCTTGAAAAAGAAAGGAAAAGAACAGAACAAAACCTGAGTTCTTTGGTAACTGGCTGTTGCTGTATGCATCCCAATTTCCTTTAAAACTTTAATATCTCAGTAGCTTAATTATTTACTAGTTGAAAGTTACTGGCCCCCATTATAGTACAGTTTTCTTGCCAGATTGCATCTCTGAAATGAAAGTGTTCTTTTGGGTTAGGTAAACTCACGAAATCTGTATTTGTCTTTTCTACCAGCCAGAGCGATGAAGTGAAAATCGAACACGCAGTCCTTTGAAAGTCCCCTTGGGTCCTCTTTGGAAAGGGCAGGCGGCTGCTCTGCCACCTACCAAGGCTTGCTTTCTGCCTCGCTTTAGTGAGCTGAATCTCTGCAGTCAGATCGCTGTGATCTGCTTTTATGTCCTGTTAGGGAGCTGCACTGAGCTTATGAGGGTGAGAGAGCAGGAAAGATGATGGGGCAAATACTGCAGTGCTTTCTGGCAGGCTCTGGAGGGAGAAAGAAGAGCTGGTAATTTTGATTCTTGCTTCTGTGATGTTTCTTCAGCCCTGTGGAGCAATCGGCATGCTAGTATCAGGGTAGACCTTTAGACTTCAGCTGCCAGTCTCCTTGTGTGTTACGCATTTGATGGCCTAAGATATTACTAGGAATTACTAGAGCAAGACTTGAGGATTTTAAAAATGAAGGAGTATTAATAATTTAGGATATTGGCGTGACCGCATTGTGGCCTATATTTAACATCCTGTGTAACAATCTCTCTTCCAGTAAAAGCTGCACTATAGGAATGGTTCTTCGTCTGTGGAGTGATACTAAAATCCATCTTGATGGTGATGGGTAAGAAACCACATTAAAAGGATAAATGTGAACGTCCTTCCCTACTTGGGGGTTGCTCTGGGAGAGATTCTCTGTCACCTTGCAAATGAGGTTCCAATTTTGGATTCAGGGCTGCAGTCCTCTTATTCAGACAGTGAGTTTTTGTGTTGCTGCCTTCAAACTGCTCGGTGGAACCTGTGATACCCAGTGAATATTCTCTGAAATCCCACTCGAGGGGTGGAGCTCCCATTCCTGGCAGCCTACACCGGGAAGGGTGTCCGCTTGTCATTCCTATTTGGGAGGATGTTGGAAAATTGGTGATAGAAATTCTCATCCCTGATTCTTTTTGACTACGAGTGCCCCTGTAGCTACCTTGCAGTAGCTGTTTGTAGAGTGCAGCTTGTGATGCAGAGAAGAGCAGTTTCTGACTGTCTTTTTTTTTTTTTTCCCTCTCTGTTAGTGGCTTCAGCGTGAGCACTGCAGGGAGAATGCACATCTTCAAGCCAGTGTCGGTGCAAGCCATGTGGTATGTGTGTTAATTAGCTTTATTGAGAAAGAGACTGTCATTTCTGTGAATAAATTAAAAACAAATAAACAAACTGCATTTTGGCATTCTCCATAATTGGTGTTTAGTGAGCTGCAGGAGAGATGCTGCTTCCCTGTGTCAGCAGGTAGCAGTACTATAAAGGTACTATGAGAATACTGATCGAAAACAGGATCTTCTGCTTCTGTTCAGAGCAGCTATCTGCTCTTGAATATAAGGGAAATGGCACTAGTGAGATGAATAAACATGAAAGACCAACTTGAATTCATCAGGCTGCAAACCCAGTCTTTCCTCTCTCTGCATATTTTTCTTACCGGCTGAAGGAGGAGTCTCAAGACCCATTGCCAATCTGATGGCATTCCCAGCATTCTGCCTCGTTACTGGGGCCAAGCTGGGGTTCCTGCCGCGCGGAAACTTTCCGTGCCGCCCCGGGTGCCTGTTCACCTTTCAGCTCCTGTCACCCCTCCCATGTGCAGGGATTCCAAAACACTGAAGCAGAGGTGGCTGAATCAGCAGCAGCTGTGCCAGCAAATTCCTCCTTGAAGAGGCTGCTACTCAGCCCCGCACAGAACAAATGCATCTCTTCTGGCCTGGGCAGTTTGCTGGCTCCTGCTGGAGCCTCGAGGGATCCCTGTCCTTGCGGCATCTGATAGGGAAAAGATACAGATGTAGAGAAGGATGTCGTGCTAGGGGTGATTTGCTACAGAAACAAATGAAACCCTTGTTCCTGTCATACATGAACTCGGCCCCTCCTGTTGGCAACCTTAGATGTGGTTAATGTATTCAGTACAATGACATCTTCGGAGTAGAGCCTTAAAAAAAGAGAAGGGGGGGAAAAAAAAAAAGAAAAAAAATGAGGAGGGAAGGAAGGAAACAGTAATGCTAGAATTTGCAAAAACAAATGACCCAATCTGGGCCTTGTCCCTGGAGCATGTCAGGGGCCAAGAATGCTGGTAAATATGCATTTGACTCCTTGCTGAAGGTGGTTTGAAAATTGTCCATGTTCTTTATTTTTCTTTGGTCTGGCTTTACAAGTTAGCTAATGATTAGATCCCAGAGCGACTTGTGCCCTTGTGCTTGCCTGTTAATCAGGAGAAGATTTCAGCCTCTGCCTTGGACCGGCTCTTGAGAAGGCCTCCAAAGGTGCGGTTTGTGCCCTCTCTGATACAATAAATCTGCTGCTCTCAAAAAGCAAACTGCAACAAACAATGCTGAAAATCTTTTTTTTTTCTCTGTGAAAATCTCTCGGATCCTACTCTGTCTGTTCCTGCTGCTCACATCTGCACAAATTTGTTCTCCAAACTTGCAGGTCTGCTTTACAGATCCTCCATAAAGCCTGTGAAGTTGCAAGAAGGTACAACTACTTCCCAGGCGGGATGGCCTTGGTCTGGGCCACGTACTATGAAAGCTGCATCAGCTCCGACCAGAGCTGCATCAATGAGTGGAATGCAATGCAGGACCTGGAGTCCACCCGCCCCGACTCTCCAGCCCTGTTTGTTGACAAGTCAGTTCTGAATTTTGTTAGAAAAAGTTGGTTTGGCTCATGAGAGAAATCTCCCCTTCTCCCTATTCTTCCTCCAGTGGTTCATTTCCTTTCTTTTCGTAAATGTCTTCAAATGTTTTTCTTCCGTTATTCTCATAAAAATTGCTTTTAATACAAGTCCTTACCACCACTCCTCTGTACCGTATGAGTTGCACCGTATGTTTATTGCCAGCTTGAAGACATCCTCTCCTTTTCCTTTTCAGGCCAACCGAAAGGGAACGAACAGAACGGCTCATTAAAGCCAAACTCCGGAGCATCATGATGAGCAAAGACCTGGAAAATGTGACTTCTAAGGAGGTAAATATAAAAATCCCTGCTATCTTCTTCTTCCTGCTAGACTCCTTTTCCAGAGAGTGCTGCACTGATGAAGAGACACCATATGACTAGGTGTCACTGGCTTTTGAGTGTGTATTTCCAACTGTTCTGTAAAGGCTCTGCTCTTTGGCTTTGCTATACCTCTGTTTCTCCAGCAGGGAAATCGGGGTAATACCAACGTCAGAGTGCATTTTTTAAGACCTTAGTAACAAGTATGTGACTGTCAAGTGCATAGCGCCTGGTCCTTTGCCAACAGAGTGGCGTCAGAGGTGATGCCTGCGTTACAGTTGCTTGTAGCACATGTAGGCATGTCCAAGCAATGAATTTGCAGCCACTTGCTCCTCAGTGTATCCCTGTGAATTACGCAAGCAAAGGCAGTGCTCACAAGATGCAGTTGGTGGCTTGAGGCCTCACAGCTGTGTTAGGTGACTGTCCTGATCTCCACTTGCTCATGGGCAGTGCAGAGCAAAGCATATGCCTTCCTTTCTCCTTGTCAGCTTCATTTTAAGGTTTTTTTTTCTTTGTTCCTGAACAAATGTCGGAGGGGCTTGCAGAAAACATTTTGCTAGCGAGTTTATGGATGGAAAATCACAAGTCAAGGCTAAAGCTAGTTTGCATCCATCCCACAGGCTGGTGTAAATACATCCAGCCGCAGTGCAGACATATTCAGAGCAAATGGTAATAGTTCTTTTTGGGTTGGGTTTTTGTTTGTTTTTCAAGGGAGACGATTAACATGCAGGGCTTTCTTCCTACAGCTTAGCACTGAAGGCTTCGGATACACTCCTGTCTAACAGCAGCGTTACAAGTTGTAGGCGTAAGCTGAGAACTCGTCTGTCTGTGTACGTGTTCTTAACTCTTGGTGCAGTCAGGATGCTTTGATTTTGCTGCAGCTGTTTTCCACAGTGGGTTAAACAAAGTTGTGCTGCTTTGCACTGCACCTTCCTGAAGCTGAGGTGCAGTGAGAGGACTGTATGTCTGTGCCCTGGCATTTTAAAAAGGGAGAGTACTGGAAATCTCTCTCTTCACCAACGCTGCCGCAGTTACTCACTCCTTGCTCCTAATGGGTTTCATGTATGTTTGTTAGCTGCTCTCCAAGGTCTTGTTTTTTATCTCTCAAATTATTTTTTAGAAACAGGTACCCCAAAATATGTTTTTTGTACCCAGATGTTACCTGAAGCTTTATTTACAGATCTTAAATCTGGGGGCCTAGGATACTTGGAGAGGTGCCACGTAGTGAGTTTTCTTGTCTCCAAAAGGTCGAATCCCTGTTGCTGTTTTTAATGAAGTACAGAAAAAGCGTTTTGCAGAGGAGTGCCAACAAATGTTTCTATTGAACAGATGTGATTCTTGGTGGCATCCTTTGTTTTCTTCTCTGCAGATACGAAATGAGCTGGAGAAACACATGAATTGCAACTTGAAGGAATTCAAGGAATTTATAGACAATGAAATGCTGCTTATCCTGGGTCAGATGGACAAACCGTCTCTGATTTTTGATCATTTATATCTGGTAAGCTGCTATGCTAGGAGTTCCAGAATAGCAGGAGGCTGAGTGGGAGTGATCTGACAGGTCAGTGGGCTCAGGGGAAGGTGGATTTGGTGTCAAGGCTGACTTGTGCAGCATGAGCCCGCTATCCCACCCTTTGTGCAGGCTTTACTCCAGGACCCATATTGTTTGTAAAAGCCCGCAGTAGAGAAACCCTTTTTTCTAGCTACATTCTTGTTTCTGGCAGTTGATATAATGGTTCTTTCCTGGCAGGTTGATCCTGTTTCAGGACATACCATAGCATAGCTCAAGTTCTCTCTATGCACGTTCATTTTCTATTTATAGCGATGGAGATTTTCTTTTCTGACAAACAAAGGGTCGAGCTGTGGATGCTGCCCTGGTGTGACAGCCGTTTGCTCTTCAACTCTGATTAGGGTCACTGTGTTGTTTCTCTCAGTTGAGCCTATGAAGTTCTGTATGCGTGGCCAGGACTATGTAAAGAATAAGGCTGAAGGTGATGTGCTCTTCCAGCTTGTGCAAGAGCAAAGAACAGTGCGAGTTTCGTCTAATCGTTTGCCACTAGATGGTACTCCAAGCAAAACCAGGCACTGCCATCTGGAACAAAGACTTGCTTGACATGAACACATTTGTGCCCGTTATGCTTGGGTCTTTTTTTTTTTTTTTTTTTTCCTTCTGGAGAGAGTCAGTGGAAGTGCTCATGTTTGAGGGCAAAACCTGCTTTTTTAAACCCTTTCTAGCTTTCTGTTTTGCAAGTATGGGAGGGATTCAAGGTGTAACCACGCCCATAACTTTCAGGATTTGCCGCACTTCTCATATACCTGGGATCCCAGTCATGCCACATGTAATCATTTTCTTTCCCTGCACTATTTATCTCTGGGATTAAAAATCCAGAGTGGCCGGGGGCAGTGATTTGGGATGTACTCTGCCACATGCTGGCCTAAAACTAACTCCTTAGGTGAGGACATAACGCCCTTGTCCCCTCCTTCAGGAGGTCCCTGCCTGTTCAGGACAGGACGTCTCTGTGCTGAGCTGCAGCGCTGGCTGCGGCGGTGCCGTGTTGCTGTTTCAGAGGCCGTTACCAATATTTCAGTGAGACCGGGGGATTGCAGAACCTTAGGAAAAAGGGAGGGTCTCGGGCTCCTTTGAAACACGTGTTTTGTGGCTGTTGCAGGGGTCTGAGTGGAATGCCTCCAACCTCGAGGAGCTGCAGGGCTCAGGGTGAGTACTGCACCTTTCAAGCACCAGCCTTACACTCTGAAACCTCCAGTCGTTTGCCTTTAACTTACAGTCAGATCTCTTGAGATGACATATGACGTTTGTAGGCTGTAGCGATGAGTTTGGGCCCATTCCCAGCTATGTGGATAACTTACCGTCAAGACCTCGGTCGAGAAATCTTTCCTACTTCGTTTCTATCAATCACACATAGAGTGGAAATAACAAAACTTCTCTTTGTGAAGTACATCAAGATCTCTGAACCCCCGCTATGTGTAGCAGCCAAGCATGAAACGGCCATACATATTGTTGTGTCAGGTGTGAATTCCTGCAGGCTGCAGAAGAGCAAATATTACAGCGCTGAGCTTAGGAAAAAACTCTAAATGGAGCAGAACTTCCTGTGGATGAGCAATCTCCATCTCACCTGCCCAGACAGGCAGCTGCAGGGCTGTCTTTCACCACGTTCTCATCACCGCACCACTTCTTGGCTTGATTTACTTTCACGCTTTTTGGACGAGTGAGAATTTTGCATATAAATGTTTGCTGCTTGCCCAAGGCATACACCAACCCTGATGTGAGAAACTGAAAAATATTGCTCAACAGCATGACTAAAAATGTTTAATTTGGAGTCCTTGGGAACAGATGTCTGAACATCTTTGAACAAGTAAATTAACCAGCATGTTAATACGTTTGATCTATGGGGAAGGCATCTTGACATGCAGGGTCTAAAAGTCAAAGCTGGACAAATTCTGAAACAGATATCCTGTGTCCTTGATTTGTCTGAGTGATAGGAGGTAATAAATCAATATGGGCATTCGTTCTCCCCGGGTACATTGTAATCCCTGCTGTAATATTTGGCAGGAATTGAGAGCTATCATGTGACTCCCATTTCATATTTTTGGTCAGAAAGAAAAGGATGGTTTTGCAGCTAAAGCCTGCAGTTGAAAATTGTGAATCCTGGGGTCTGTTTCCCAGCTCTTGCCCAAACGAATCACTTGCAGCCGATGCGCTTTTCTTTCAGCGTCCCAGAAGCTGTGTGTGGCACACAGTGAGGAGTTTCTGATTGGGTTACAAAGCCTCGTCAGATGGGATTAAATAAACTTCTCCCTCCTGTGCCCAGGGTCTTTTGACGCTTTGAATGGGATATGCCGGTGGTGAGAGATGGGTGGATGGGCAGGCCCTGCGCGTCACGTGCGTGACCTGTGTCACCAGGTGTCCCAGGGGTTCGGGATTAGGGCTGTAGATAAAATCTTACAGTTCGTGTTGTGTTAGATTTCATGGACTTCACAATGTGTGTCAGTTCCCTTTCATGACCATGGCAGTTCAACTTTATTTTTCTTTTCATTCTCCACAGCATTGACTACATTTTGAATGTGACCAGGGAAATTGATAATTTTTTCCCCGGTTTGTTCGCATATCACAATATTCGAGTGTATGACGAGGAGACAACAGACCTCCTGGCTCACTGGAATGAGGCGTACCACTTTATAAATAAGGCCAAGTAAGCGGGCTGGGAGACGCGACTTAGTGTGAGAGCACATCCAAGCTACGGGGCCTGACACCGTGCCCTGCGGGTTTCATCCAACGTGGAGCTGGACCCTCCCTGGAGCCACACCACCACTGAAGGAGGCAACAGGGCTTTTGCATTACTGCTTTTGCCAGGAGTTTTCTGTGTCCCTGGAACTTCCCCATACCTTGTCTCTTCCTGTACTGGCATTAACCTGTTCCTAGCCTATGATATTTTCTTTTATTATTATTTTGTTTTGCTTCCAAAAGGAAACGAGGACATTTCCTCTCTCAAGATGTTCTGGAAATACTCCCAACACATGTCCGTGTTGGACTAGCCCCAGCTGTCTCTGCAGACAAGAGATGGTGACAGAGCCCGTCAAACTCTGCTGGGCTTTTACACTCAGGTTGTTCCTACTTATCCCTGTATCCAAAGACTCGGGCAGGCAGGCGGGAGGCTTCATGGTGGTCTCTGAAATGGCAGCACGATTGAAGCTGCCCTTCTCTAACTCCTGACTTCTGGAGAGAGATTCTTCTCATGGCCCACTTAGTCCAAAATGTTTCTCACCTACTGAGCCATGGTGTTAGGGTGGTCAGGGGGACAAAGTACTATTCCTCCACCATGTAAAATGGTAACAATAGATACCAAAACAGAAAGATGAGACACGTTTTCCTGTTTGTCCTTCCGCAGGAAGAATCACTCCAAGTGCCTGGTGCACTGCAAAATGGGTGTGAGCCGGTCAGCATCTACTGTTATAGCTTATGCAATGAAGGAATTTGGCTGGTCACTGGAAAAGGCCTATAATTACGTGAAGCAAAAACGCAGCATTGCAAGACCAAATGCAGGCTTCATGAGACAGCTTTTGGAATATGAAGGCATTTTAGACGCGAGGTAAGGCAACAGGATGAATGGAAAGGTGACTTGCAGGAAATAAAAGGAGCTAGTTGTAGGCAGCCTCTCGTGGTTTTGTATCACAAAATGTTAGTTGATTTCTGTGGCGTTCTGTTCAGGCACTGGGCTCTTCTGCTGATGTCTTGCACACACGCGTGTCGTGCTCAAAGACATTGGCAGAGTGTGCGTGGTGCTGCAGTCTGAAGGCCAGACCACCATCCAGAAGGGTCCTTTTTGGAAGGGCAGATGCAGAAGTCTGGGCTAATTGTGTTTTTCTAAACCTTTTCCATGCCAGGCCTCCCTGGATGGAAATTGGCGGTCTTCTAGGGAGATCTGCTCTGGTTTAATTCGGTGAGGGTTTCTCTGCGTTTGGGAAGCATGTTCGTATTTCTCAGCAGCCGGTACTGTTCAGCAAAACATTGTTCTTGTTTTATGAGGCAGAACTGAGCTCAGGCAGTGTTGGAGGCAAATCATTTGCAGTTCTGGGTGACCATGCCAATCACAAGTCTTTGTCATTGCAAGCGCTGTAGTATCTAATAAGGGTTTCTGCATGCTCTGCTTGGCTTCTGCTCTGCTGGGGGAAGAGGAGGAAAATTTTTCA